TTACAGTGAGCTGAGATCATGCCACTGCACCCCAGCCTGGGTAACAGAGCAACACTCTGTCTCAAAAACAAAAACAAGATAGAGAGGAATCTGAAGGTCTATTCGTGAATCTTCTGTCACGCTAAGGGTTGGAACAGACCCTTCCCTCTTCGGCTGGCCTCATGACTTCACCTCTTACCGGGTGGTCGCAGCCCCAGCCTGGACCTTTCATTCCTGCCCTGATGGTCTTCCTGCATTTCCCAGTTTGCTCTTTTTCACCTCTCTACATCTGCCTGGAATACCGTTCCCCACTGTGTCCCTGGTGGCTTCCTGTCCATCCTTCAGAGCCAAGTTTGCAAGCTACTTCCTCTGAGATGACTAAGACAGGAGTAAGGGCCCTGGATTCTCCTGCAGGACCCTGTGTGAAAGTGACAAACACAGGGTCCCACAGGATAATTTTATTATTTTATTGTATTATTTTATTTTATTTTTGAGATAGAGTCTTTCTTGCTTGCCCAGGCTGGAGTGCAGTGGTGTGATTTCAGCTTGCTACAACCTCCGCCTCCCAGGCTCAAGCGAGTCTCCTGCCTCAGCCCCCGGAGTAGCTGGGATTATAGGCACGCACCACCACGTCCAGCTAATTTTTGTATTTTTAGTAGAGACGGGTTTCACCATGTTGGCCAGGCTGGTCTTGAACTCCTGACCTCAAGTGATCTGCCCACCTTGGCCTCCCAAACTGCTGGGATTACAGAAGTGAGCCACAACCCCTGGCCATATTTTGTAATTTTATATTTTATAATTTTATGTTTTCCCTTGGTTTCTACAGTGGGCCCCGTGGCTATGATTTTCATTTATGTTTCTACCGTGTCTGGTATAGAGCTGGTGCTTCATTAATGTTCTTTGAAAGAGGAAATGAATGAATGAATCCTTATAAGGAATAAAATATTTACCCCCCTCCCACTATATCATTTTATAGTCCAATACAAAGAAACCCGAATACAGATTTGGCTCATATGTGAGCCCATCTCTTTCATCTGTTTATTCCATCTCTCTCTCTTAATATATAAATGATTATATATTTATATTATATAATTTATATATGTATAAATATGATATATAATATAGTAAATATGATAAACACTTATATGTCATATGTAAAAATTATATGGCAAAAATATATATAATAAATAAATAATATGTATATAAACGTAGAGCCTCAGATTCACGGATGAGCTCAGAAGGGCCCTGTGCTACCATCTTCAAAATTCTTAATACTTTTTATTACTTAAAAAAAATTTTGGCCGAGCACAGTGGCTCACACCTTAATCCCAGCACTTTGGGAGGCTGAGGTGGGTGGATGACGAGGTCAGGAGTTCAAGACCAACCTGGCCAATATGGTGAAACCTTGTGTCTACTAAAAATACAAAAAATTAGCCTGCTGCTAACAGGCATGTGCCTGTTGTCCCAGTTACTCAAGAGGTTGAGGCAGAAGAATCGCTGGAACCAGGGAGGCAGAGGTTGCAGTGAGTCAAGATGTGCCACTGTACTCCAGTCTCGGCTACAGAGCAAGACTCCGTCTCAAAAAAAAATTTTTTTTTAAATTTAGAGATAGGGTCTCACTCTGTCACCCAGGCTGGAGTGCAGTGGCATGATCATAGCTCACTGAAGCCTCTACTTCTTGGTCTCAAGGGATCCTCTCACCTCAGCCTCTCAAGTAACTAGGACTACAGTCATGCACCACCACACCTGGCTAATTTTTAAAATTTTTATAGAGATGGAGTCTCACCGTGTTGCCCAGAGTGGTGTCAAACTCTTGGCCTCAAGTGATCCTCCTGCCTCAACCTCCCAAAGCTCTGGAATTACAGGCATGAGCCACCTCGCTCAGCCATTAACACCTTTTGAACAAGGGACCCCACATTTTCATTTTTCACTGGGGCCTACAAAGTAGGGTCACTGATCTTGAAGCCATTTATGCACTCATTGTGATGATGGAGTCTTTCTTGAATCGTATTAGAAACCTCTGTGAATCAGAAGGCCTGGAAAGCCAACAAGTAGAGACCATGCCTCACAGTGCAGCCAAGTCCCCACCTTGTAGAACCTTAACAACTGGCTCAAGCCCTTGTGCCCGAGAGTTCTAATCCCCTCCAAGGAGCCCTGCACTCCAGGAACCTTCAGATGCCATCTTAAACATTTTTGTTTTAATAAAAGGTAAGGAAATCCATTCTGAGAACAGACCAAAACTGAAAGTTTTACCATGGTTAGCACGAATAAAAGATACCTCTTGTTTTTTCCACATCATCCCTATAGACTAATAGCTCTTCCAGGTTTCATGTGACTTTTCTGGAAAGACTCTAAAAGGAGTAACAAGGAGGAAAGATCACTTGAACCCAGGAGTTTGAGACGAGCCTGGGCAACATAATGAGATCCCATCTCTAGAAAAATTACAGAAAAATTAGCTGGACTCGGTGGAGTGTACCTGTGGCCCCAGCTACTAGGGAGGCTGAGGTGGGAGGATCACTTGAGCCAGGAAGTCGAGGCTGCAGTGAGCCATGATCACACCACTGCACTCCAGCCTGGGCAACACAGTGAGATCCTGTCTCACCAAAAAAAAAAAAAAAAAAAGAGAGAGAGAGAGAACACATTTTCCTCTAAATCAATCATTTTCCTGTTTCAGATAGTTTAAACAAAGTGTTGTCAACAAAAGCTATACTCTACTTCTTTACGATGTCCAAAGACACTTCTTGCTAAGATGTATTTTTCATCACATTCTGCGAATGTAAAAAGGGAAGCAAATTTAGAATCAAGACTGTATTTCAGTTTGGATTTGATTTTTCTTTTTGTTTGTGCTTGCTGTTTTTTCAGTGAGAACCTCTGCTGCCTGCCATGCAGTTCTGAATATCTTAGCTTTTTTCCCTTGGAGGGCAAAATCCTAGGGGTCCTTTGACCTAGAGTCACACACAGGACACAGATTTGCTTTCAGAATCCATTTTTATTCCGATGAAGGAACAAAGGAGCAACAGCCCAGGAGAGAATTCTAAGAACAGAACTAAATGCAGAAGTGTGTATTTTCACAGATTCCTATCAGGAGGATGTATGACTCTTCAATGCTGGTAAGAATTCTTGCCTTCACTCTTTCCCAGGTAACTGAGGTGCGGGGGAATTCAGGCGTGTAACAGAGCAACAACTTAAGGGCTCTAAACCCCAAAGGAAATTGCTTCTGTGCCTCCACTTCTTTATGTGTAAAACGTGTTAATATAAGAAGTCATAATATTGAGCACTTACTGCCAGGCGCTATGCTTAATGCTTTACATGCACTGAATCATGCATTCATTCAACATTTCCTGGGCACCTGCTATGTGCAGGTCCTCTTCTAGGCATTGGGTATATAACAGTGATCAGAGTACTGACACCTCAGGAATGTACATTCATTTAAACTGCCCGATGACACACCGAGGTTGTGTTATAGTATCCCTGTTTGACAGACGAGGAAAGTGAAGCTACAAATGGTTAAATAAAATCTGCCAGGCTGGGTTGGGCGCAGTGGCTCATGCCTGTAATCACAGCACTTTGGGAGGCCGAGACAGGCGGATCACTAGGTCAGGAGATCGAGACCATCCTGGTTAACACGGTGAAACTCTGTCTCTACTAAAAATACAAAAAAGTAGGCCGGGCGCGGTAGCTCAAGCCTGTAATCCCAGCACTTTGGGAGGCCGAGACGGGCGGATCACGAGGTCAGGAGATCGAGACCATCCTGGCTAACACGGTGAAACCCCGTCTCTATTAAGAAATACAAAAAACTAGCCGGGCGAGGTGGCGGGCGCCTGTAGTCCCAGCTACTCGGGAGGCTGAGGCCGGAGAATGGTGTAAACCCGGGAGGCGGAGCTTGCAGTGAGCTGAGATCCGGCCACTGCACTCCAGCCTGGGTGACAGAGCGAGACTCCGTCTCAAAAAAAAAAAAAAAATACAAAAAAGTAGCCGGGCACGGTGGCAGGCGCCTGTAGTCCCAGCTACTCCGAAGGCTGAGGCAGGAGAATGGCATGAACCCGGGAGGCAGAGCTTGCAGCGAGCCGAGATTTGGCCACTGCACTCCAGCCTGGGCGACAGAGTGAGACTCCGTCTCAAAAAAAAAAAAAAAAAATCTGCCAGGCTGGGAGCAGTGGCTCATGCAGGTAATCCCAATACTTTGGCAGGCCAAGGTTGGAGGATTGCTTGAGGCCAGGAGTTTGAGACCAGCCTGGGCAACACAGTGAGTGAGACCTCATCTCTACAAAAAAATTTAAAAATTAGTTGAGTGTGGTGGCTCATGCCTGTACTCCCAGCCACTCAAGAGGCTGAGGTGGGAGGATCACTTGAGCCCAGGAGTTTGAGGCTGCAGTGAGCTATGATCATGCCATTGCACTCCAGCCTGGGCAACAGAGCGAGACTCAGTGTCTAAAAATACAATCTGCCCTAAGATCACAGGCCTAGTAAATACTTGAGATGAGATTCCAACTTAGATGCATCTAATGCTCTATAGCTCGTAGTTTTCATCACTAGGCTGTGCAGTGCCTCTGGAAAAAGGAACAATAGGGACAGCCTAGAGGGGTGTTTTGGGGCCAAAGAACTAGAAGTTGGCAAAGCTTTTTTTTTTTTTTTAGATGGTGTTTCATTCTTGTTGCCCAGTCCGGAGTGCAATGGCACAATCTCAGCTCACCTCAACCTCCACCTCCTGGGTTCAAGCGATTCTCCTGCCTCAGCCTCCCAAGTAGCTGGGATTACAGGCATGCACCAACACACAGGGCTAATTTTGTATTTTTAGTAGAGACAAAGTTTCTCCATGTTGGTCAGGCTGGTCTAGAACTCCTGACCTCAGGTGATCCGCCCACCTCAGTCTCCCAAAGTGCTGGGAGTACAGGCTTGAGCCATTACGCCCGGCCCCCAGAAGTTGGCAAAGTTCTTCAGTGGGGAGAGTATCCTGGGCATTTGAGAGAGTATAAATTAAGGAGTTGAGAACCATGTTCACCACTTTGTGGCTTGAGAAAGGAGCTAGAGTTGGCCTGGAATGTTTCCCCCTAATTCAGGGCAGGGGCAGCTTGTCATTTCATAGAGTCCTCTGTTTTGAGGGGTCCAGGTACACATTTGGGAAGCTCATGTATATGAGGGAGTTTTGCAATAAGAGTACAACACTGATGTTCACACAGAACAGGTCTAGAAATTATTCCGTGAAAGGATGAAAGCTCAACTTGTCTGCCCCCACCCCCCAAAAAACTTTACTGTCACACAAGAGTTGACTAATGACCCTCCACTAAAAATTACACAGTATAGTGCCTGCCACCAAATACGAATTCAGTAAATACTTGGAGAATAAGTAAATGAATAATTTCAATTCACAGTCACATAATAAGTCATCAAAAGCAATTGTAAAAGCAATTGTATTAGACTCAGCACATCCCACTGGAGAAGCCAGGGCAGGGAAACAGATCCCTCAGCACATTATTTGAAATACAAAGATTTGAAGAAGGTCAGAGCAGATTGTTTTGTTGTTGTTCTTCTTGGGCTACCGGGAAGTCACAACGATGACAAAGAAATGTACAGATGTACAAAAAAATGTAAAGATGAAAATTAATAGATCAATACATCCCAATCTAAAGAGCCTCCTTCAGCCTGAAATAAAAAAGTATTGATTGACTTAGCCCGGTTTCTATTTTCTGAGATAAGGAATGATTTAAGGTCAGAGGATAGGAAATGATGCTAATGCCCCCCACCTCCTAAGAGAGAGAATATGCCCCATTTAAACACATATGCCCATTTACTTAGCCATTTAAAATGACACAGGGGAAGCCGGGCGCGGTGGCTCATGCCTGTGGTCCCACCGCTTTGGGAGGCCGAGGCAGGCGGGTCACCTGAGGTCAGGAGCTCGAGACCAGCCTAGACAACATGGCAAAATCCTGTCTCTACTAAAAATACAAAAATTAGCCAGGTGTGGTGGCAGGAGCCTGTAATCCCATCTACTCGGGAGGCTGAGGCAGGAGAACTGCTTGAACCCGGGAGGCGGAGGTTGCAGCGAGCCAAGATTGTGCCACCGCACTCCAGCGTGGGAGACAGAGCGAGACTCTGTCTCAAAACAAAAACAAACAACGAAAATTACACAGGAGCTGTGCGGTTCCTAACCCCCCTCCCAACACACACATGCTCCACTCCATGCACATTCTGTCCCCTGCCATCGTAATCAGATAAAATGCAACCAACTCACTTCAATCAACTGGAACCTCCCCAAAAGGTATAGTTGTGTGAATTTCATTTCCGACAGAATGAGGATGCAGTTCATGTGCGTGAAGCCGTCTTGCAATAAGAAAGGGGGGTGGCATTTTCAAAGCCCCCGACCCCTTACCGAGTTAATTCTAAGTCACCACTCTATCTTCCTCAGTGTTGCTGGTCTGCTTGTTCAGTGCCACTCAACAGTGTGGGGATCCCACTGCCCATCAGACTGGCTTTGGGAACTATTTGTCACACTGAGGCAACTCTTGCGACTGAGGTTCGAAATTGGCATCTCTTGCGGCCTTTGTGTTTTTGAGTGTCCTGGCTGCTTGGGTTTCAGACTGCAGATTTTGAGCTTGTTGTAGAATTTGGGAAACGAGGGGCTTGAAAAATAATACACCAGGGGATCCAGCATGCTGTTCATGTAGGTGAAGCTGAGGGTGATGTGCAGGGCCACATGGACAGAGGGATCGCAGGCACTCGAGGGCACCGTCCAGAGGAAATAGAGTCTGGCGGACACGCTGGGCAGGTAGCACGTGATGAACACAACTGCCACCACCATGATGAACCGGGTCGCCTTCTTCATCCGAGCCTGTCTGGCCAGCTGCTGCCTCCGCCTCAGGCTCCAAACAATCTTGAAGGAGCAAAATAAGATGATGCCGAGGGGCAGAAAGAACTCCAGCTGGAACATGATGTCATGCCAGCCATTGGCCGACTCCATGATGAAGCTCTCACAGGAGACAGCCGTCTCTTGCACACAGAGATGGTTCTCCAGCAAAAGATGCAGTGTTCCCAGGATGACCAGGGTCCACAGGGTGCAGACGATGCCAGCTGCCGTCCGGTTGGAGATGGTGTTCACCGCGTGGTGGGGGTGGACCACTTTGAAATACCTGTCCACAGCCACCACCGTAAGGAACACGATGCTCCCGGCCCTGTTCATGGCCAAGGTGAAGAGCCCCACCCGGCAGGGAATGTCCCCAAAAGCCCAGTGTCTACGTCTGAGGTAATAGTCTGTCCGAAAAGGCAGGCAGATCATAAGGAGGAAATCAGCCACGGCCAAGTTGAAAAGGTAAACAGTGCTCGGCTTCCAGGTCTTCATGTGGAAGCAGAAACCACACAGGGCGACCCCATTGCCTAGTGCGCCCAGCACAAAGGCCACAATGAGCAGCGGCGGCATCACCTGGGAGATGGTGTCCCCCTCGATGCGGCAGCACGACCCGTTGTACATGGTGGGGACAGAGCAAGTGTCCGGGTGCGGAGCAGCCCAGGGAGTCCCTACAATGACACAGATGCTTATCGGAGCGTCAGCACTCACCCAGCTGCTGCATGTCTGACTTCATCACCCAGGATGCGGGTCCTGTGTGTGTGGGTTGGATGCTGCCACAGCAGCGAGAAGAGAAACTTCAGCCAGGAAATGACAGACCCAGGGAGGTCTTTTCTCTGGAGCCTGTCTCATAAGCCGCCTGCCTCTCCGAGAGGCCAAGCCTGGAGCCGGATGAAGCTTGGAAATGCATGCAATTTTGCAAAAGTGGTCATTTCTGAGAGGCGGTAGGGTTGGGGGTATCCGAAGAGATTCGTGCCCGTAGAGGAGCGATTGGGTCCAGCCCCAGGATAATTTTTATTTTCAGCTTCGCTTTTCCTCCTCGGACTCCGTGCTGGAGAGCACACAAAGCTGCCCAGAAGGCAAGAAAAAAGCTTGTTTGTCCTCCCTCCTGGTGGAGAAATCCAAACATTTCCTGGAGTCATTCTGGGCCCCTGCCTTTGCTTTCCTCCCCTAACCTTTGCCTGACTGCCTTGTCCTCTCCCTCATCCCACGGGGCACTCCCATTCGGTGCCAGAGAGGGGAGGCTTTGCTCTGCAGCTCCTCGGGGCCATTTCCTGTGCCCAAAAATACCGCGCTCGAAAATTGGAAGAGTCTGCGGAGAAAAATGTTCTAATCACGATACTTGATGGGTGTTAGAAAAAGTCTTTGATGAGAGTCACCTTTCCCCCGCTCTATTCCCACCTCCCTGCCCTTTGCATCCTTCCGTGAACCGAACTGGCCAGTTGCACAAGGACCAAGGCCATGACATAGATCAGAAGCCCACTTCTCACATGTCTGTCTCCACAAAACGGCCTCCTTGGGAGCCGGTCCCCCCTCTGCTGGGAAGCAGAGCCTAGAACTTTTACAAAGATTTGGCCCTGAGTTTCCATTGGCTGCTTAAATGAGCCAAGCACCATGAGATGTAAGTTTTTAATTTCAATCATGTGCTAAGCCTATCAATTACAACTGCCCCCTGGGGGCGGATGAGGATTGGAGGAGTTGATTAAGGAGTCCATCTCTAAAGCAATCATGAGTAAAATTAGACTGCACAAAAAATTGGAGTCTTTGCTAAAATTTCCTGTCCTTTGGCTTTAAGGATTATTAATCTGCCCTGTGTCTTTCAGCTTCCAGTTTAGAAAATGGGGTGGAGGCCGGGTCCAGTGGCTCACGCCTGTAATCCAAGCACTTTGGGAGGCCGAGGCGGGTGGATCACGAGGTCAGGTGATCGAGACCATCCTGGCTAACACGGTGAAATCCCATTTCTACTAAAAATACAAAACATTAGCCAGGCGTGGTGGCGGGCGCCTGTAGTCCCAGCTACTCAGGAGGCTGAGGCAGGAGAACGGCGTGAACCCGGGAGGCAGAGCTTGCAGTGAGCCGAGATCTTGCCACTGCACTCCAGTCTGGGCAACAGAGTGAGACTCCATCTCAAAAAAAAAAAAAGAAAGAAAGAAAGAAAGAAAATGGAGTGGCTCACATCTATAATTCAAGCACTTTGGGAGGCCGAGGCAGGTGGATGACTTGAGGTCAGGAGTCCGAGACCAGCCTTGCCAACATGGTGAAACCCCATCTCTACTAAAAATATACAAAAATCAGTTGGGTGTTGTGGCACATGTCTGTAATCCCAGCTACTCAGGAGGCTGAGGCAGGAGAATCACTTGAACCCAGGAGGTGGAGGTTGCAGTGAGCCAAGATCGTGCCACTGCACTCCAGCCTGGGCGACAAGAGTGAGACTCTGTCTCAAAAAAAAAAAAAAAGGGGTGGAAAAGAGGGGGTGCATTCAAAGAATGTGTCTGTCTTCTAGACGCACACTGAAGCTAAATTCTTCCCACTGGATGCCGGACTCCGAATCTGTCCACCCACATTCTCCCCTGCCTCGCCCTAGCACAGACCGCGGTCACCTCCCACCTGAACTGATGAAACAGTTTCCTAACTGGTTTCCCTTCCTCTCGTCTATTTCCTGTAAGTCATCTTCTACACAACAATCTGATTTTTCTAAAGCACAGATGTGATCATATACCTTTTTTCACTTAAAAATCTTCACTAGGCTGGGTGCGGTGGCTCACACCGGTAATGCCAGCACTTTGGGAGGCCGAGGCGGGGGAATCACGAGGTCAGGAGATCAAGACCACCCTGGCTAACACGGTGAAACCCCATCTCTACTGAAAATACAAAAAATTAGCCAGGCGTGGTGGCAGGCGCCTGTAGTCCCAGCTGCTTGGGAGGCTGAAGCAGGAGAATGGCGTGAACCCGGGAGGCGGAGCTTGCAGTGAGCGGAGATCTTGCCACTGCACTCCAGCCTGGCGACAGAGCAAGACTCCGTCTCAAAAAAAAAAAAAAAAAAAATCTTCACTAGCTCCCTTCAATCTGCCAAGGCGCCAGAAAGATGGCCTGTGGACCATATCTGGTTTAAAAACCAGCCTGGCTTGGCCCATATGTTTTTTTTGTTTTTTGTTTTTTTTTTTTTTTGAGACGGAGTCTTGCTCTGCTGCCCAGGCTGGGGTGCAGTGGCCGGATCTCAGCTCACTGCAAGCTCCCCCTCCCAGGTTTACGCCATTCTCCTGCCTCAGCCTCCCGAGTAGCTGGGACTACAGGCGCCCGCCACCTCACCCGGCTAGTTTTTTTTTTTGTATTTTTTAGTAGAGACGGGGTTTCACCGTGTTAGCCAGGATGGTCTCGATCTCCTGACCTCGTGATCCGCCCGTCTCGGCCTCCCAAAGTGCTGGGATTACAGGCTTGAGCCACCGCGCCCGGCCTGGCCCATATGTTTTTAAAACCTGGTGGCGTCCTATAAAAACCTGGATTTCTGTTGTCTCTTAGAACACTGGAAGATCTGGCCACACTGGAGCGACACTCCCACATGGAAACAATCAGCTGGAGCTGAGAGTAGACAGAGTAGAGACAGAGAATGAGCTCTACTGTTTGCCACAGTCCCCACCACTCCCTATTGCCTTACATCTGGTTGGCTTTCCTCATTGGCAAGCCTCGTCTCTGTGGGATTTTGAGTTTGTCACCTCTGCTCTAGGTTGAAGGTCACATTCCTTGGATTGATGTACAAGGTCCTTCACAGTTGGTTCCCAACCTACCTTTCCAGTATGATTTTCCTGCCGCTTTCCTCCTTCCACCTTACTCACTAGTCTCGTAACCTCTAATAAATAAACGTGTTCGTCAGATGTCTACATCTCATTCCCTGACAAATTCAGCAGTTCTTTGAAGACAAACTTCATACTCTTGGCCTGGATGACTAACTTATACTTTTCTTTTTTCTTTACTTTTTTCTTTTCTTTCTTTCTCTCTCTCTCTCTGTTTTATTCTTTTCTTTTTTCTCTCTCTTTCTTTCCTTCTTTCCCTCTTTCTTTCTCTTTCTCTCTCTCTCTTTCTTTTTTTTTTTTTTTTGAGACAGGGTCTGGCTCTGTTGTCCAGGCTGGAGTGCAGTGGCTCTATCTTGGCTCACTGTAGCCTCGACCTCCTAGGCTCAAGCCATCCTCTCACCTTAGCCTCCTGAGTGGCTGGGACTACAGGCACATGCTACCATGCCCATCTAATTTTTGTATCTTTGTAGAGATGCGGTTTTGCCATGTTGTCCAGATCTCAAACTCCTGGGCTCAAGTGATCCACCCATCTTGACCTCTCAAAGTGCTGGGATTACAGGTGTAAGCCACCATGCCAAGCCTACTTTTCATGAGAGCTCTTCGTAGCCACCTTCACTCTGTGGGCCTTTGTGATTCTGTGATAAGGCTTAACTAACAGGGGTAACCATGGCAGGCTGAAACACCCCAAGACGAGGTCAGAGGGGTAACCCTGAGTATTTCATATGCTTAGCCTGGATTTTTTAACAAATGGAAAATATTCTTCATTCTACATTCTCAGATACTGTCAGGATTCTTGTAAACACAAATACTTCCTTTTTTTTCCACATGACTAACACCTGCCTTTCTTTTCTAAATCCTTTGTCTTGTCAAATCACCTTCCTCTCTATTTTTTTTTGTTTTTGGACTGTAGAATTAACTAGAAGGCAGAGGATTAAGAAAGAAAAAAATGATATCTATTCCTCTGAAAGTCTACTGGTTTTTTTGGTTTGGTTTTTTTTGGTTTGTATGTTTTGAGACAGAGTCTGGCTCTGTCGCTAAGGCTGGAGTGCAGTGGCACAAATGTAGCTCACTTCAACCTGTGCCTCCTAGGCTCAAGTGATCCTCCCACCTCAGCCTCACAAGTTGCTGGGACCACCGGCATGTGCCACCATGCCTGGCTAATTTTTGTATATTTTGTAGAGATGAGGTTTCACCATACTGGCCAGGCTGGTCCTAAACTCCTGGGTTCAAGCGATCTGCCTGCCTCGGCCTCTGAAAGTGCTGGGATTACAGGCGTGAGCCACTGCACCTGCACCAAAAGTCTACTGGTTTTTCACATACACTCTGATCTTATTCTACCCCAGGCCTTCAAGAAAATGCTGTGTCTCTCTTCTTGGACTTCCTGCTCAAGATCATGCTCTGGTGGCCTATTCCTTTGTGCACCAAATTTAAATCTATATAGGCTCATGCCTGTAATCCCAGCACTTTGGAAGGCAGATCACTTGAGGTCAGGAATTCGAGACCAGCCTGGCCGACATGATGAAACCCCAACTCTACTAAAATTACAAAAATCAGCCGGTCGAGGCTGGGCGTGGTGGCTCACTCCTGCAATCCCAGCACTTTGGGAGGCCAAGGCAGGTGGATCACCTGAGGTCAAGAGTTCGAGACCAGCCTGGCCAACATGGTGAAACCCTGCCTCTACTAAAAACACCAAAACTAGCCAGACGTGGTGTCGCATGCCTGTAATCCCAGCTATTCGGTGGGGCTGAGGCAGGAAAATCGCTTGAACTCGGGAGGTGGAGGTTGCAGTGAGCCGAGATAGCACCATTGCACTCCAGCCTAGGGAAAAAGAGT